TTTCTGTCCATATTTCCAACTCAGCGCCGACCAGAATGACTCAGGGACTCTTTAATTTGAGACACTATGGTTGTAAATAAGGAAAGTAAGGCACAGAGAGTTTCGATGCAATGTTCCTCCCATGACCTTACCCTGCCTGCCTGAAGGTGGGGTCATTTCACACTAGTCTGAGCTGACACAGAACACATAACCCAATGGATTGGTTGGGTAACATGTGTTTTGCTAAATACCTACTGTGTATCTAATGCTATGCTGGATATAGAGACATATAAGATATGATCGAGAACATTAGTTGAAGAGGCCTATATGCTAAGAATTAGGAAATTACATAAAAGTCACAGAAAATTAGGAAAATATATATGAAGGACAAAAAATTAGGAAATTAAAAAAAGATACCATTTTCAAAGTATATTCCAAAGAATATTAATAATGGCTTAGCGGGGCGGGGGCGGGGGCGGAACAGACTTCTGTATCAAAAGATTTCTGAAATCAATCCTGGCAAGTTACATTATGGATACTGACAAACCAATTCTAGTGTTTATATGGAGAGGTAAGAGGCTCAGAACAGCCAAAACTATATTGAAAGAGAAGGACAAAGTTGGACGATTAACATGACTTCGTGAACATTTGTTCTGTTTTGTTGTCTAGCACATAATTGCTATTCAACAAACATTTATTGCATGAGTAAAACACCTTGTCTAACAAATAGTATGCATGAAGAAATGTCAGCTATCATTAATAAGATGAAAATGATTTTATTAGTGTTTTGATCTTCCGGAAACTTATTGCCACCACAGAACTGGACTTGGTTCCGTGAAATGAGATATAATCTCCTTTAAAGTCTCTCAAGTGAGCTAACCTAGCTGCAATTTCAGGCCTTCGATAATAGCTTGACATTTTTAGTTTTTTGACATATATTAGATATCTTTCAAAGCTGGCTAATGGATTTACTCTTTAAATGTGACTGTGGTGAAGCATCCCTCATGGTCCATTTTACTTTCAGTCATGAGATAAAAGAAGCAGAAACAGAGCTTTCATGCCTGGAACATTCCAGAAAGACACTAGTAACACGCTGAAGCCCCCAGAGGAAACTTCCTCGTTGTCTCTCGAACAACTACTGGGTAGAAGATTAAAACTTGGCATTCCAGAGAGAAATCGCAGCATCTTATTATAAAGCACAGGTAAATTTTTTAATGCCGCTAACTAGTAATTCTTTAGGGACTTACCTTGATAAATAAAACAGAGTTTTTTATTGGCTTAAAGAGGAAGCCAACTATCTCCCTACCTTGTGCTGAGTGTGCCTATTTCTTCTCTCAGTGTGGTCAGTATGGAAGCATCTTGACACATGTGGGCTACACGGTCAAGGTTAAACATACCCTGATGCGAGGGCACATTTTGACATTCCCAGGGTCGACCACTTGAGCTGGGTGGATCCTCAGTCTGGAACTAAGAAAGGGTGGAGGGTTTGCCTGGACGCTGGGTTCGCTCCTGCCCTGCATTCTTGACCTTCGCTGGAGGCATCAGGTAGCTGTGAGTTCACTGTCAAGTAGTGGGAGTTAAAAACAGGCTCTACTACTTGGGGGTGGATGAATATTAATAGTAACAACGTCTCATGCTGACTGAACGCCCACCATATGCCATATGAGTGACCTCAACTTTCATAGCAACCCACCATGCGTGACCTCAAGCTACTAAAGGTTTAGCAACAGGCTCAAAAAACTTCCAGGATGTATAACAGTTGGTTCTTCTAAGCCCCTGCCAGCTAGCTCTGGCACACCCTGGCAGAGCCAGACTCTCTATGTCCCCTCAGAGGTCTGAAAGGCCCCAGGCAACACCCTGGTCAGTATCTAAGTCCTGGCTTCTCAGGAACATCTTTAAGCTTCTATTCTCTAATTATCCCATTTTCTGTCCTGTGCTCCCCAGCCCTGGGTGTGGCCGCTGCTTCCTGCACTTACCACCTCTATTACCTCGTGTACCCATTTTTTGCTTCCTGGCCTGCTTTAACCAGCCCTCCATAGTGGATGCTCGTCTTTAAAATGGTTAATATAATTTCTGTTTTCCCAACTAGAACCTGACGGATACTCTGTCAAGTTCGTCCTTCCCGGATTTTCTATCCATTCCCCCAACCACATTCTGCTGTTGGCCTCAGTGCCTTTCATCTCACCGGTCCTTCTGCATACGGTGCCACCCGCTCCGTCCTGAGGCTCATCAGTCCCTTGTCAGGTTCCACTGCGGTGCCTCTGCCCTGCTGTTCTCTGGTTCCCTGCACCGTGAGCCCCTTGGAAGCAGGGACTCTTTGTCTTGGCTGTGTCCCTGTGTTCCCAAAGTGCTGAGCACACCTCTTAGAATATCAGTGTCTTAGAGGAACAGAGAAATTGAACCAGTATGGTATAGGATAGATGTGTACGTAAAATAAGGAATTGGCTTCCTCGGTTATGGAGGCCGGCCAGGCCCAAATCCAGCAGGGCGGCTGGGCACGCCAGGGCCCCCGGAGTGCTTGCTGCTGCTGCTGCAGCTGCCGTCCGAGCGCCCACAGGCTCAGGCTCTAAGAGGAGCCGAGGCCCCCGTTCAGACCTGAAGGCAGGAACAATTATATTTTAGTCGAGGGACGGTCTGCCTTTTTGTCCTATTCAGGCCTTCGGTGCATGGATGAGGCCCGCTCACATCAGGGAGGGTGTCCTGTTTTGCTCAGGCTACTAGCTAAAATGTCACTCTCACCCGAAAACGCCTCGCAGAAGCCCCAACAATGATGCTTGATCGAACAGCTGGGCAACCCCATGGCCCGATTCAGTCAACGCCTCGCAGAAGCCCCAACAATGATGCTTGATCAAACAATGATGCTTGATCAAACCATGGCCCGATTCAGTTGACACCGAAAATGAAGCATCCTAGTTATAAAAGCTCACTGTACAGTGGTTAAAAGTTGAGGTGTAAAGTGGTATGGTGTGATACAGTACGGTATAGAATGCCCCGGCTTGGTATGGCATGGGATGGCAGGGCACAGTATGGTACGTTATGGTATCAAAATGTATGGCAGGAGAGACCTGCTTTAAACCTGACTCCAGCCATCCCTGGCTTATGTGACTCCGGGCATGTGACTCTGTTCTCTGACCTTTGCTTCCTCACGCTTCAGGCGAGGCTGACCATCCCTGTCCCTCGGCGCTGTTGGGAGACATAAAAGAGCTCGTGTGCAAAGTGCCTGACACATTTCCTAGACCAGAGCAAATGAGGGTGAGTGCCGAGGGCACGCTCTCCACGCGGAAGGGAGCTGCGCCGGCCTCCCCCACATGCCGTCTTGCCACACGTCACTTTCTCTGGGGTTCCCGGCTGGCCGTGCACTTACTGTGACCGATGTAGTCAGCCAGATTTCCAGGGCCTCGAGCTGAAGGGAGTTTTTTAAATTGTTCTTTACTCTTTGGGGGCCAGGAAACACTGCAGCCCAAAGAAAGGAAAGATGCCTGTCAGACGGGAGGGCAGGGAAGGAACCCGGTTCTCTGCTTAGGATGGAGTCATTCAAGGACTTAGCAAACCTCGGGCCTGAGGAATGGTGCTCAGTCTTAAGTTTCTGATCAGAATAACCTAAAAGTTCTGCTGGGATCTCCCAAACAGCCCAACCTGAGTCAAAGGCTCTCAGTCTGGCTTTTGACCTTGTAAACATCCCCAGGTGCCACAGACATAAGAAATGCATCGCAGAGTGGGTGGATCCCTAGGCCCTGGCCCTCAGCATGTCCGGGGGGCGGGGACAAGTCCTTTTCCTCCCTCCTGTGCTCCTCCTCCCTGGGATATCTGCTCATTCGCGTTGGAAGTCGTCCTAAGCAGAGTCCTGGCTGAGCCACTCAGCTGTCTGACCTGTTGAATACATTGTCGTACCTTCCAGATCCTCAGTTCTTTCATTTGTAAAATAGGATAAACAACATGTACTTCTCAAAGCTTTATAAATAACTAGAATCTATAGAATTCTCATCATGTCCCAAGCAAAGCAATTCTCTTAACCACTCTAGAAGGAAGAGTTTCATGTTGTCCAGGGCCCTGAGCTGGGAAGGGGTATCTTGAAATTCCCAATAACTTTTGAACAAGGAATCCAGGGGTTTCAATTAGTACTAGGCCCTGCGAATTCTGCAGCCAGTCTGGCTCTACGAGACAGAGATTACCTCTGTCCTCTTTTTACAGACGAATAAATCGTGACACAGAAAGGTTCAGTAACTTGTCCGAGGTCACACAGTTAGTAAGTGGCAGAACAAGGGAGTCTCCTGCCACCTGCTTTTAACTGCTTCTGGATAGTGCCTTAGTGAGAGAACTCAGTGAAAAGCCATTAGTTTGGCGCTTTATAACTCTGAGTGGCTTCTATCCCCAATTAGTCATTACCCTCATGCTAACGACCCTTAGCCCAGAAGCTATTAAGAAATGACCCATAATGAAAATGCATATGATTCTTGAATGTGTGGCCTCGTGTCAAGCTATAATTAGACTGAGGGGCCTGCCACAGGGAGGTCACAGCCCTGTACAGGAGGGAATACCTGACGTGAATACCCTGGAAAAGGGACAAGAAATTATAAAGTGGACAGAGCCTGGGGTAGTCTCTTATCCTGGGGTCTTACTCTGGTTCTTGACCACAGAGTCATCGAGACACCTCAGCCTGCTTCCCTATCTCGGGCAAAGGTGAAGGTGGGGGTGGGGTGCCCGTGAACTGGGAGAAGACGGCCAGGATCAAAGAAGTGGCTGGGACACGAAGGGGGCCTGAGCGGCTTCACCATCCATGTGGGACTAGAGGACGAGTCTCTCAAGGCGGAACTGGGAATGGATCAGGGCTTGCGAATCCGAAACCCACGAGCAGCACGAGGCTGTTGCAAGAGCTGGGAACTGTGTCATCCATGCGTTCCAGATCCCATTTAATCCTTTCTTGTTGTTTTGTTTTTCCTTTTCTGTGTGTGTCTTTGCTTTGCCTCCGCCTTTGGTATGTTTTTTGTTTGTTTTAATGCTAGTGAGGTCAATTACGCTTAAAGGAATTTGGAGAATGGGCTTGTGACCACTCACGGGCCAGAGTTTAAAACGGGTGAGAGCAGCACATGCCCAGTGATTCTCTCGGCAGCTCATGGTGGTGGCGGCAGAATTAGAAAGGGGAGGTCGGGAGAAAGAGGCAGGTCCTTAAATTCACTGGGCAACCCCTGGATGGTGCTTCTACACCCTCGGCGCGTACACAGACATCTTAAAATGCAGACTCTGATTCGAGCCTGGGCGGGGCCCGAGAGCCTGCATCGTTACCAAGCTCCTGGGAGGTACAGATGCTACAGATGCCGCTGGTCCGCAGACCACACCTGGAACACCAAATCTTAGCGAAGGGCCCATCCCTTAGGCTCTGGGCCACTGGTCAGGTATGTTTTAATGTGAAAATGTGAAGAAGAGAAGACCCGCATGCCGCTTCCATGGAAGAATGCTTCCCTCGAAACAAAACCTGAAAGCTCTTGAGGTTATCGCTGCAAAGAGAATGACTGAGAGGAGAGAGAGGCTGAATATTTTTGTTGGCAGGTTCCGTTTCTTTTTCATGAAGTTTGATATGATTTTAGGAATGACAAAAAAATCTCAGCTGTGGCTAGTACCCCTCTGCCTTTCCATGGCGTTCGAAATTCCTACCGGGAGGAAAAACTACTATATTTTTATCAAGGCAGCTTTTCCTCAAGAATGTCCCACTCTAAACAGTTGTTCCAAGGTGTTAATTGATGCTATACAAAAAAAAAAAAAGAAAGAAAATGGGTGCTCTGTGATCAAATTAATTAGAGAAACACTGACTCGACAATAAAGTCGAACATGTTACTTTACTGAGGAATCTTCAGAGCGTTTGCTTTATGATTAACTAAATGAGGGCAAGACACACAGCATTTCCTAACCTCGTTTGGCTGTAGAAAGCTCTCTGTTTCTCTGTTTCTCTCTGGATCCCATCCTCATCCTTTATTAGCAATTAAATAAGTGCCAACTACACCAAGGAAATGCTGGGAGTGAGGAGATTCCTCACTTGTTTCAGCAGAGATTTTTTTTTTAATATTAAATATCAGTGCATGGGCCCTGAAATAGACAGTTGTGTATTACCGATGCAGATTTACACTGGTATGAGCCTCTTGCAAAACGCTTTGAAAGAATGAAGGAAAAACAATAGAAATACTTATAAACTCCAAATAGAAAGGTTTTCTCCCCACCTCCCACCCCAAATTGTATGTTGGGCCCTAGTAAACAGAATATAAACTCTGAAATGTCCTAAAATATGAGAATGTTTGACGCACCTATGAGGGAGCCACTCACTGAAACGCCGTAAAGTCTGTCTATATTAAAGATGTCCGTGAAATGGTACAGAAAATGTGCTTATGTTATTACAGGGTGTTGGCTGCAAAGTCTACGTGCAATTCTTCACCACTCCCTCTGGCTCTGACTGTTGCGTGTGACTAGGGAACCCCTTCACACGAAGCCGCGGAGGCTACTCCCCAGCCCTCGGATCCAGGCTGACCTTGTGACTTGCACTGGCAATAACCACGATGGCAAGAAGGAAAGGCCACTTCCATATCTAAGCCTCATGCTTCTGCTCTCTCTCGAGATTCTGCTACCGCCAAGCACACAGGCCTGGGTAGATCCGGGAGGATTGGAGACCAAGTATGCAAAAGCCATGAACAGGACGGTTTGCTGAGACTACCTGATGGCAGATCCATGAGCAAACCCAGGAGAGACCAGAGATGAAGAACCTTCCAGCTAAGCCCTGGACTCACTAGCAATTGCAAATGGTTCTTATTTTAATCTACTGAGTTTTAGGGTGGCAATAGATAAGTGTTTGAGGTATAATGTAATATAAAAAGAAAAAAAATTATAGGATATTAAATTTCAATGAATATGAAATAATTAGAAAATAATTATGACAAAAAGGAAAATGGTATACATGAAAATATAATGAATTCTTTTAGGATAGCAGTCCTGTGGAAATAATAATATATTTTTCTTTTCTTTCTACCCTTGTGCTTTTCCAAATTTTCTCCCATGAGTATGCATCACTAGCATCATGTTCGTTTATTATAAAAATTGTTCAGTTAAAAATAATAATAACTCAGGGGTCTCATGTGTATTTGGCATCTGCCAGATACTCTAGAATCTAGACTAAGGAAAAGTATAAGTGTCTTGAAAACTATAAAATATCAGAGAACCCATAAGGCGGTACAGTTTTTATTATGGTACATATTTTACAAATCATCAAATGCTCTAGTATGATGAAGCTCTTTCTGCCATAAAATTGGTAGGGCTTTTATATTTGTTTCGATTTGAGGTTAAGAATGTATTAACCCTAAAAAGCTAACAAAGTAACCACCTGAAATTTTCAGCCAGCTTCCTTGCCACTAATATATACAAGCGATAATGAACACATCTCCCTGTACCGTGGGGCGACTTCTCACACTAAATAAAGTTGAGCTTTCATCTCAAATGGTAGCTTTGGAAATACAGTGAGTATGGAGCAATCCTTGAACTGTTTACAGAGACAGTAAAAGGCGGAGCACATCCTTTCAGGATAAAAGCTGTTTTATGGTATATAAAGAAAGTTCCTCTTTGAAAGTCTGGCTAAAAGTCAGAAGGAGACTTTGTAGTTCGACAGAAACTTTCGACCACGCATCTGAAAGTGTTTTATTGACACGCACCTTTAATCTACACGACTTCCTGAGGGTAAGTAGCAAGTTTTACTATTCCCATTTTACAGGTAGAAAAACCAAGAGAAAAAGATACCAGAAAATGTATCAGTTACATTTCTTTGGTTGTAAGCAACAGAAAACAATTGACCAACATAAGCAAAGGCGTGTGTATGCATATGTGTGTGTGTGTGTGTGTGTCTCTGTGTGTGTGTCTGTGTGTGTGCATGTGAAAACACATGACTATGAGTAAGGGAAGCCAGCAGCTCCTCCAGGGCACTAGGCTCCAAAGGAGAAGACTCTCTCCAGGATTCAGTGTCTGGATGAAGAGGCTGCAGCCATTTCTCAGTACTATGTCACTCTATTCAGAAGGGATTGGTGGAGGGGAGGCTGGAAGAAAGCGGTAAAGGTTTAAAGTGGGACAAATTTGTAATCGATAGAGGGTCTTGGGGCTGGGGAGCACGGCGCAGGGAATGCACACAGCAGGAAGGTAATGGCTCCATGTAGAGCCAGAGGGATGATAGCGTAATCAGGGGGCTTGTTTCGTAAACTATATAAATGTCTGATCAATGTACTGTATACTTGAAACTAATAATAAAAAAAGTAAATTGGAGAGAGAGAACGTCTAACCCCTCTAGTTTGGATCACAGGCCAAACCTGAGTGTCGTATAACATAGTTGATGGGGAGTTCCCAAAAGGAAAATTTAAAAAAGTAAAAATAAATGGATGCTGAACAGGCAGGAAACTACCCATGCACATGACAGGACAGGTGGAAACTAAACGACAGCTCTTTTAGATTTCTGCACATCCATCACCCTGCCTTTCCTGGAATCAGCCAGGAGCTTCTGGAAGCCGGGGAGAAGCGTATCCGTGAGCCTATGCCGCAGCCTGCCACACAGTTGCAGTGGAATGAATACATGACCTATTTGGTATCTGTGCGGTGCTTGACAAACACGGAGAAGTGACCTTTGTCTCTCATTTCTCTCCCACCAGTTTCAACACCCCAGGCCATTTTTTCTATTTCCAGGACCCTTCCAAAAGTATTTTCCTACCACGCCCCCCAATCCCACATCCCCTAGAGTCGATCATTCTCAGGAATGTCTATAGAACTAGCCGAGCGAGGCCCGTCCGGAATTAGTTACGTCCTCAAACCCGAGTCCCTTCTGCCTCAATTTTCTTACTGTCACAAGGCAATCGCTAAAAATAGTTCTACTTCATAGTGTTGTTTGGAAGGTGAATAGAAATATTTATAAAGCACTGACAGTAATCCAGGCATATAGTAGGCACAATCTGTTAGCTGCAATCATCATCATCATCATCTTACCATTATTCTTGGTACAGAGCACTGCGTAATAAGACCAAGAACTTCCCATTGTCGTAGGTTGCTCTCGGTGCACCCTGTGCCTCCATCACTGTTTTCATTTAAAAACTAAAGAAACGAAGCTCCGAGTAGCATAAGTTATCCGCCCAGGGCCCGTCGCCACTATGGCACATTCCACTGATTTCCTCTAAGGCCCGCCTTCTCCCTGCGACACCACGTTGTTACCCACCTTAGTCAAAAATTGTGAGCTAGCAAAGGTGGAATTCCAGGGGAATTTAAGGAAACTTCCCCCCTGGTGACCCATAACTCACCTGGAATAGAAAACATTTTCCTGGCTGCGGGGAGGACCCATTTCTGGTAGACCCTGCCGTGTCTCCCACGAAACGTTGAGCTCCTTGAGCGTGGAGAGGTGCTCTCCAGCACGAAGCATGGCTTCTGGCACTTGGTAAGCACGAACATACCTACATTAAACTCGAGATACTCTACAGAAGAAAAACGTGGGGCGTTCTCCAGGAGAGTTCTATGGTTTTGATCATTTGCAGAGTCACATTTTCTCTTTTCTTGCCATCTCTTTTTTTTTCCCCCTTCTCCTCCTGAGAGAAGGGATTCGCATGCATTTGGCTTTTTATGTCACCTTTAACCTTTCAGCCCTCTCCCTGATCTGGTCTTCTCTCTGAGCCCAGCCTGTCATTCACATGGCCACTGACATGTCCCATGAGCAGGACAAACTCAACATGCCTCACAGCATCTCCACCCATTTCCACGTCTCCCAGCCTCGTTCCTCCTCCTGTGAATTCTGGTCTTTCTCGAATGGATCGTCAACTAGGTCAGAAACCTTAGTGTCACCTCTCTCCTCTGTCTCATGCTCCCTCACGCATCGATTAAGGCCTAACGCTGCTGCATCATGAACGATTCTTACCTCATTCCCCTAATTCCTATCCCTACCACCTCTCGTCGCCTCTAACACGAACTCCTGCCACAGTCCCTTTGTCTCGTGTCCTTTAAATTGGTTTTATGCTGATCCACAAAGATGCTTTGGAGCAGAGATGGACCAGTCATTTACCAAACTCGGTGACAGGTTGGCGACGTTTCTTTGGCTGCCTTGCTGTTAGCCACCACCCTGTGACCGAGTGCGCTGAGTTCTGGACAGAGGAATATGCATGACAGTGATGTACCCACTCGGTGATCCAATCCTTAAAACCTTTCTTTACAAGCCTTCTCCGTTTTCTTCCCTAGTCTGCTGGCTTGATGACAATGGCCGGACGATTTTAGGAGCCATGTGTTAAAAATGGCAGATTCAGTGTCAGCCTGGGACTCTGAGCTGTGTCATCCATTATTTTTAACACCTACTATGCGGCTTGTGATAACAGGGTCTTGTTCTTTGAGGAGCTCATTGTATGGTTGAGATGACTGGTGGTTAAATAGAAGACCAGAGTACAGTGAAGTCCAGTGAGGGCTGAGCTGGCAGAAAGTCCGACATATGCGACAAATGCACAGAGGAGGTGCCTCGCCCAGCCTGGCAAGTCAGAGGAGGCAACAGCAAAGCTGAGTCTTAGACCCCAGAAGCTGGTCAGGCGAAGCAGGGAGGCAGAAGAACGAGAAGCTGTGTGTTTTTTCTCTCTTCATGTTAACTATAAAAATGTTCTTGCTCTTGTTGAGTAGAGGTTAAAGGGAAGAAGTCATGAAGCCGGAGAGTGACAGGACAGTGGGCAGGCTGGAGGGAGGCCAGCCGGAGGCAGGAGGACCGGTTCCAAGGCTCGCCCTCTGCTTCCCTCTGGGATGAGCTGTCTGCTGATTATAGCCCGTCCGTGAAGCCACAGGCCCCACGGCCTCTGATGACACAGCACTGAGACATCCCTGCCTTTGCTGGGATTCCTTAAAAGCTTCACTTGACGGAGGGCTTGGCTTTGCTAGTCTCTGATACTTTTGCAAAACCCCAGAATTCACCTGAGGTCTCAGCTCTCCAGCTTCTATGACATGACCTCTGACCCGGGAGTGCCCCCTTGACTCACAGTCCTCTCAGGGTGGGCAAGGAGGGAGCAATTAGCTGAAAGAGAAACACCCACAGAGGCATGGAGTTCCCCTTGGCTGCAGGAGAAGGCGTGTGCCAACCGCAATGGCGCGGCTTCTAGGACTATGGTGCTTCTTGACCTTGAAGGATCGGGCTTAAATACAGGGTTCTTTTGAGACTGTCAGAAGTCAGGATGAGTCATGATCCCGCTTGGCCTGGGAGGAGGGGCAGGCACTGGGGTGTGAGTCACAGTGCAGAGAAGGACTTGTTGGAAGGGGCTTGAGAAAGTCCTGTGCAGACGGCAATGGTGATGGCGTCTTCTGGTTTCTCACGTGTTCCCTGTAAGGTTTTGAGCTAAGCCAGGGGCTGCAAAAGGACCTGCATGGTGGCCTCTTATTAATAAACCTAGATAATTAGAGAAAAAAAAAGAAAACACAGGCCTGGATTAGAGCTAGACTAGGGGAACCAAAACTCCAAGTCATGTTAGAAAAATTAATATAGGAAAAGTCATGTTTTGCCTTCCCTCCAAAAAAAAAACCATGGCATTGCAGGAAGTGTACGAGTGATCTTTGGGGCCAGATAGATCTGTATTGGACTCCTGTTCTACCACCTTAGCTGCATAATTTTATAGGTAAGTTGCTGAATCTCTCTGAGCCTCAGCTCTCTCTCTTATCTATCAACTGGATTTGAGCAACGGTGATAATGGCCACCACTACTGGACAATTGATGTGCTAGGCAGTGGACCCGGTGTCTTCCTGACATCATCTCAAATAATTCCCAACCCTGTTTTACAATAATATATTCATTTCAGGGTTGCTGGGAAGATTAAATGAGATAATGTAGTGAAAGGGTCTAACTCACTGCCTGGCACACGAAAGAGACTAAACAGATACTGTTGCCCTTTTAACATCTAAGGGAGCCTCACTACCTCGAGCCCTAAGTTTTCTCTAGGCATTTTGTTGAGTTTAGTTAAATCCGTACTTGTCTCCTTGGGGAAAACAAATACACGCCTTTTATTTTAATCATCCTCCTACTATACTGCTTTACTGGCATCTTTTCCACCAACGTTAACTTCACGCACATTCTCGTAACTAACTCTGATTTGTACCACGTGATGTCTTAGAACCATCCCGGGACATTGGAATGTAGAGCTGATCCGTTTAAGCGACAAAGAGATTGGGAATAACGCCGTTTTTCATGTACCCATTCCTGTGAGACTTTGACGTTAAAGAGACAGCTCGTCTGGCTTTGCTAAACTGCCCTTCGGGTCATACAAATCAAGTTCATTTGGCATTGGAGGCAGCTCTTAAATCTAGGTTCTAACAAACGGGAGAGAGAGAGGCCACAGATTTCTCCTTCCCGTTTTAAGTGGGGATTCGTTAGGTAAGTCTTGTTTCTTACAGAAGACGAAATTGTATAATAATTTAAAAGTACAGCTCCCTAAAAGCAGGGATTGTGGACTTGTTTTT